GCGTGCGTGCGTGCGTGCGTGTGTGCGTGCGTGGGTGCGTGCGTCCGTGCGCGCGCGTGCGCGCGTGCGTGCGTGCGTGCGTTTGTGTGTGTTGTCTGTGTAAGTATGTATGTATGTAAGTAAGTAAGTATGTATGTAAGTAAGTAAGTAAGTAAGTATGTATGTATGTATGTATGTATGTATGTATGTATGTATGCGTGTGTGTGTGTGTGTGGGCAGTCGGCCACTACCTCGCCCGCTGTCGCCGCGGGGTGCTCGGCCGGCCGTTGCCCCCTTCCTCCCCACGAGCAACGCAGCGTCGGATGAGCCCGCGCTCGATCCGTTTCGGTGACCTGGGATCGCTCGAGCGGCTCTTCGCCCCAGCCGCGTGCGCTCCGAAAAGTGTACATGGGGAGTCGGCCACTCGGGCGTCGTCGGCTCAGGACGATCGATCTCTCGCTCCGAAGGCCTGTGGTAGGGGCTCGACTCCGAGCTGCAGGTTTCTTGCTCTGAGCAGGTCGGCGACGTAAAAAGACGACGCGCTTGGAGTGGTATTATCTTTCCACTGTCCGTACTCGATTGTTCCGTGATCTGGATTTCACTAGCGCGTCGGAGAAAAGGAGTGTGTTTGTGTGTGTATGCGTGCGTGCGTGCGTGCGTGCGTGCGTGCGTGCGTGTGTGTGTGTGTGTCTATGTATGGTTGTGGGTGTTGTGTGTGCATGTGTGATTGTGTGTATGTGTGTGTGTGCGCGTGCGTGCGTGCGTGCGTGCGTGTGTGCTGTGTCTGTGCCGTATGTATGTCTGTCTGTCTGTCTGTGTGTATGTATGTATATATGTACGCACATATACGTATGTATGCATGTATGTATGCATGTCTGCATGTCTGTATGTCTGTATGTCTGTATGTCTGGATGTATGTCTGCATGTATGCATGTGTGTATTTGTCTGTCTCTCTGTCTGTCTGTCTGTATGCCTGCCTGCATGCATGTATGTATGTATGTGCGTGCGTGCGTGCGTACGTATGTATGTATGTATGCATGCATGTATGTATACATGTATGTATGTATGTATGTATGTGTGTATGCATGTATGTATGCATGCATGCTTGCATGCATGCATGTCTGTATGTATGTATGTGTGTATGTATGCATGTATGTATGTATGTATGTATGCATGTATATATGTATGTACGTACGTACGTACGTACGTACGTACGTATGTATGTATGTATGTATGTATGTATGTATGTAGGCAGGTAGGTAGGTAGGTAGGTAGGTAGGCATGCATGCATGCATGCATGCATGCATGTATGTATGCGTATGCGTGTTGGTGCTGTGTGTGGTGCATTCGAAGGCAGGGGTGTCTCTGCGCCGCGCCTGCCCCGTGCCCAGGGCTCTCGAGCGGCATCCGCGTGCCGAATCGTCTCGGGGGCCTGGCCTGCCTCCGCCGAGCTGCCGTGCCGGGGCTGCGCCCACCAGCGCCCAGAGGCAAGGATCGAGGGCCTTCCGTGGCCTCATCCAGCCCCAGGCCCCGTGGGCGTGCCCCTCCAGCTCCAGGCCCCGACGGGGGAGACAAAAGCCCGAGCCCCGCACCGCCGATCAGAAGCGCAACGCGTTCCTCACAGCACGGCGCGCCGAGAGCCAACAGCCACGTGTGGTGAAACCCGCTCATACCATCATTATATCCATACCTACTGCGGCCGTTTCGGCTCAGGTATTAGAGACAGGTGAAGCGCTGCCTGCCCTCGGCGCATGAGAAAAAAAGGTCGCTACCATCTCCCTGGCCTTCCTCTACCTACGGCAATCCTGGCAGGTTCGACTCTTCGGCCGTCAACCTGCATGCACACCACGGCGCATGCAGGCAATGCTCTAGTCCGATCATGAGGCCATCCGCGCAGTTGGCACTCTTGCTGCCCCGTCGGTCCTGGGGCCATCCTCGCAGCTGGCACTCCTGCTGCTATCTTAAACCACCGTCAGAGCGGTGCCCGTGAAGCCTCCTCCTGATATCATCTTTCATCTCCTCCAGCCTCTGCCGCTCGAGAGCAGTGAGTTCGCGGCGGCCACTGCCATGGGCCGAGCCGGGGGGAGGAGGTGGCGGAGGCGGCGGCGGCGGGCACACGACCTGCGGCTCGAATGGCCGCTGCACCCAGTCCACGTCGAAACCGTCGAAGCCGTAGTCGTCGAATGCCGCGGTGGGCGGGTCAACGTCGTCGTTGACGTACGGCCAGACCTCCCACCAGGCGTTGAAGAGTGTGCGGAGCCGCTGCGTGGCCGCCAAGGCCTCATCTGCCAGCTCCGCACGGCGTCGCACGAAAGGCTGGCTCGATCGCCGCCGCAACGCCCCCGCGGTCGCAACCGCGGTCCAGGCGGCAGGCAGGCAGAAGCCAGAGGCATCGGCCTCGATGAACTGGATGCCTGAGTCCTGGCCCTCGCAACCTTCCGCGCCGAGAATCGGCACGGTCCCCGAAACCGTGTCCATCGGCGTGCGGTCAGGGCCTTCCTTCACCACCTTTACGGGGACGGGGTCCCTGGACCGCGGCTGGGCCCCCCGGCCACGGCGTGCACGGCGTGGGTATACCCTCCGTCGCAGCGTCGTCGCGGTTGGCGACGCTCGGAAAGGTGGCCCCGCGGTTCTCCGACTGCACAGCGGCCGCGGCCAGGCGAGGCGAGCGGCCCGCGGAGCACCGCCCCACCACGCGGACAGCAGTGGGCAGGGCCCAGCGAGCAGGATGCGTTGACCACGGCACCGCACGAGCAGCGGCTGCCTCGCACCTCGTCCTCCGCGCCCCCCCCCGCCGCTTGCAGCACAGCGTCCGCGGCAGGCACGAAGGGCGGGGCCGCCTCCCGTGTTGGCCACGCCTCCGCGTAAGGCACGACGAAGGGAGGGGCTGCCTCCCGGAGCCCTGCGGGCCGATCCTCCGCAGCCGCGGGGTGGCCAGGGGCGGGGCTGTCGGGGAGGACGTCGACGGGCACCATGATCTCCGCCGCGTACCCCGTGGCATCCTTGCAGAATGGCTCACGGCCGAAGGCAGTTCCAAGGCAGGGCCCTGCGGCAGCTCAATGGAACTCCTCGTCGGTGACCTGCGAGAGCCCGTGGGGCGGGACTCGCGCCGCGTGCCACGCGGCGTTGCGCCTGCGCCGCGAACGCCCCGGCACGCGTGCGCATAGGCCGCCAGCTGCAGTGCTGGGCGTGCTGCCCGCTCGCGGTCACGCCGCGGGCCTGGCGGCGCAGCACCCAGGTCCGCCCGCGCACGCCGTGAACCTGCCTCGCAGGCCTGCTGCGCTCGGCGGCGAGCCGCCCGCCGAGCCGCCGACGCGCCGAGCTGCGCAGTCTCCAGCGCGCGCACGGGCCGCCATTACGCAGGGTGGCCCCCCGAAGCCATCACGCGATCCCAGCCAAGATCCCCACTCCCCCAAGTCCCACACGCCCGCCGCGTTGCCCCGCAGGATTGGGGTCGCAGGGTACGCCGAGGGACAAGGTCCAGGAACAGGGGGCCTACGGACAAGCATGCGCCAAAATGGATACGGATGTGTATGCGTGTGTCTGTCTGTGTGTGTGTGTGTGTGTGTGTGTGTGTGTGCGTGCGTGCGTGCGTGCGTGCGTGCGTGCGTGCGTGCGTGCGTGCGTGCGTGCGTGCGTGCGTGCGTGCGTGCGTGTGTGCATGCGGGCGTGCGTGCGTGCGTGCGTGCGTGCGTGCGTGCGTGCGTGCGTGCGTGCGTGCGTGCGTGCGTGCGTGCGTGTGTGTGTGTGTGTGTGTGTGTGTGTGTGTGGCGTGCGTGCGTGCGTGCGTGCGTGCGTGCGTGCGTGCGTGCGTGCGTGCGTGCGTGCGTGCGTGTGTGTGTGTGTGTGTGTGTGTGTGTGTGTGTGTGTGTGTGTGTGTGTGTGTGTGTGTGTGTGTGTGTGTGTGTGTGTGTGTGTGTGTGTGTGTGTGTGTGTGTGTGTGTGTGTGTGTGTGTGTGTGTGTGTGTGTGTGTGTGGGGGGGGAGTCGGTCGCTGCCTCGCCCGCTGTCGCCGCGTGGGGCTCGGCCGGCCGTTTTCCCGTTCCTCCCCGCGAGCAACGCAGCGTCGCATGAGCTCGCACTCGATCTGTTTCGGTGACCTGGGATCGCCCGAGCGGCTCTTCACTCCAGCCGCGTGCGCTCCGAAAAGTGTACGTTGGGAGCCGGCCACGCGGGCGTCGTCGGCTCGGGACGATTCATCTCTCGTTCCGGAGGTCTGGTAGGGGCTCGGCCCCGAGCTGCAGGTTTCTTGCTCTGAGCAGGTCGGCGACGTAAAGAGTGACGTGTTTGGAGTGGCATTATGTTTCCACTGTTCGTACTCGATTCTACTGTTGGCTGGATTTCACTAGCGCGTCGGAGAAAAAGGATTGTGTGTGTGCGTGCGTGCGTTTGTGTGTGTGTGTGTGTTCGTGCGTGCGTGCGTGCGTGCGTGCGTGCGTGCGTGCGTATGTATGTATGTGTGTGTGTGCGTGCGTGCGTGCGTGCGTGCGTGCGTGCGTGCGCGTGTGTGTGTGTGTGTGTGTGTGTTTGTGTGTGTGTGTGTGTGTGTGTGTGTGTGTGTGTGTGCGTGCGTGCGTGCGTGTGTGTTTGTGTTTGTGTGGAAGGGTTTCGACCGCGCGGGCGTCGTCGGCTCGGGCGATCGAGCTATCCTTCCGAAGGTCTGTAGCGGGGGCTCGGCCCTGAGCTGCAGATATCCTTGCTTTGAGCAGTTGGGTGACGCAGGAGCATGGGGAGAATGCTGACCGCGCCGACATTCACGAGTCATCTTCCCATGCTAGGTCGTGCGTATGGCAATGGCAATGTCTTCCACATGGTGTGCCGCGTCGGCGGCCTGCGTGAGCCATCGCGCAAAGTCACAGTGCATCCGTGCGTAAGAACCCGATTTCTTGGTCGCCCAATTACCCTGGCCATATTTCTTAATATATCAGCTTCGTCGGGATCATGCCGAAGTATTGCCAATGCCGCCTCCTTCCAGCCCACCTTTCCTTTTTGTGCTCCCTATCGCACACGCAGTCTTGGGAGGAAGCACTGGCGTGGTTTGGCACCGTCGCCAAAAACAGTCAACAGCTGCGTGACCAGTTCAAGACGATCAAGGACCCACGCGGAAGGGGCATGCATGTGCAACTTGCCTTCGATTCCTGTGTCAGGAGGGGATCACACATTCAGTTTGCTTTCACACATGTCGCGAACCTTCGCGTCTGGCGATGCCCTTCCGACCTCCGTGCTACCATGCCGAGGAAGCAGCAAACGGGACTGGGGCGCGCTTGGCCGTCCGAGTCTACGGCGGTACCGGGCTCCCGTGGCTCCAAGCAAGGGGCGATGTGCTCGTTGAGTCGGATTCGGGAGGGCTGCTTAGGAGGCCAACCTCCAGAGGCTTGCAAGAGGGCTTCTCAGAAGCCGGGAGGGCATCTCTTGAAGGCCCCCGTCTTCTCAGGTGGTCTCCTGCCTTCTCAGAAGGCCGCCCTCCCTCGCGCCACCCCCTTTGGCTCGCCGCCAGCAGACACAGAGCTGACGGCATCGTTCCGTTGGCGATGGTGCAGAGGCTGTCGGTCGGACGGCAGCTGACGGGCACTGCCCTCAAGGGCAGATCATCGTCGGGGCTCCAGCGGTGACTCTGTAGGTCCCGGCGGGCGCAACCGATTCTCGGTCGGCCTACTTGCCATGGCAGGCGGCGGGGAGCAGCAACGTTCTAGGGGGGGGTTCGTGACGATGTTCGTTATGAGGGTCCACGGGAACGTCGTAGCAGAAGCCGTAGCCACCATCGGGCACGGACGCGGGACACGGGCACGAGCCACCATAGGGCTCGGGACATGGAGCGGACCCCTGCCCATCATAGGGCCAGCGGCCGCTCCAGGAACCACCATAGGGTTCCTGAAGGCCCGTTGTGTCCGCAATGCGGTATCCGGGGTCATCTTGCTCGTGATTGTCCGTCGGCGGCGAGTCCAGCAACCACACCAAAATCGTCCTCCGCAGCGCACTTGCCGCTCCTCCTCACGCCGAGGCAACATCAGCGCCGTGATCTCCCGCAACCACCACCTCGCCCACACCCAGGCGCCACGCAGTTAAGATGCTGAAATAAGGACAACTTTGGGCTCGGGAGTGGCTCTGGTTTTTGGGCCGTTCCTTTTTGGGGGGCTTCGTCGGGATTTTGCACCCCACGGGAAGGGAGAGGGAGGGAATGGGACACTTCATTGCCTTCAATTCAAATCCCCACGAACCTCGGGCAGTACGTGCGGCCCGGGGGGAGGCGGACCGCTCACCCATCCCACCACCATGCGGGGGATGTGAAGACCCTGTGAGCGGGACGGGGTGGGCACAGAGGGGGCCTCCAAATGGCATCCCGCACCCAAGTCATGGCCGTCATGGGCCTCTTCTTGGGATGAGGCACCAATCGGCCTCTCGGATGGGCACCATACGCCCGTCCACATTCAAAGGAAGCGCGGCGGGAGGGGTTGTTTTGGTGCCTTCTTTGCGTTCTGCTGCCCTTTCAGGCTCCCTCCAGGTAGTTTGCGACCACTGTGTAGGTCCCGGCGGGCGCATCCGAATCTCGGTCGGCCTACTTGCCATGGCAGGCGGCGGGGAGCAGCAACGTTCTAGGGGGGGGTTCGTGACGATGTTCGTTATGAGGGTCCACGGGAACGTCGTAGCAGAAGCCGTAGCCACCATCGGGCACGGACGCGGGACACGGGCACGAGCCACCATAGGGCTCGGGACATGGAGCGGACCCCTGCCCATCATAGGGCCAGCGGCCGCTCCAGGAACCACCATAGGGTTCCTGAAGGCCCGTTGTGTCCGCAATGCGGTATCCGTGGTCATCTTGCTCGTGATTGTCCGTCGGCGGCGAGTCCAGCAACCACACCAAAATCGTCCTCCGCAGCGCACTTGCCGCTCCTCCTCACGCCGAGGCAACATCAGCGCCGTGATCTCCCGCAACCACCACCTCGCCCACACCCAGGCGTCACGCAGTTAAGATGCTGAAAGAAGGACAACTTTGGGCTCGGGAGTGGCTCTGGTTTTTGGGCCGTTCCTTTTTGCGGGGCTTCGTCGGGATTTTGCACCCCACGGGAAGTGAGAGGGAGGGAATGGGACACTTCATTACCTTCAATTCAAATCCCCACGAACCTCGGGCAGTACGTGCGGCCCGGGGGGAGGCGGACCGCTCACCCATCCCACCAACATACGGGGGATGTGAAGACCCTGTGAGCGGGACGGGGTGGGCACAGAGGGGGCCTCCAAATGGCATCTCGCACCCAAGTCATGGCCGTCATGGGCCTCTTCTTGGGATGAGGCACCAATCGGCCTCTCGGATGGGCACCATACGCCCGTCCACAACCAAAGGAAGCGCGCCATTTGCCTTCCGCATTTCTTTGGCAATTGATTGCAACACGCATGGACCTTTTTCATTTGATACTTCAACCTCCCCCCAGGTCACCTGCAGCGGTGCGAAGGCAGCTGCGCTTCGCGCTTCGCGGCCGGGACGGGCGGTTGTCCCTCCTCATCGCGGGGGGGCGAGGTCGCGAAGGCAGCCGCACCCCGCGCTTCGCACCGCGCAGGGCGCGGGGTCAGGTGATCGGAGGTCTCTGGACTTGACGGGCCTGTTTTACACCACCACCACCATAAGTTGGATGGGGGGAAGAGGAGTAGGAGGAGGAGGAGGAGGAGGAGGAGGAGGAGGAGGAGGAGGAGGAGGAGGAGGAGGAGGAGGAGGAGGAGGAAGAGGGGGGGGGAGGCGGAGGCGGAGGCGGAGGAGTTACCGTCCTTGAGACTTGTGACGAACGGTTTGTCTGGCCGCGTACAACTCCGCAGCACCTGAAGTCTGCCACGGGAAAGGGGCAGGTCCAGATGCCGCTGCAATAACATTCCCAACTGCATCGGTCATACAGAAGGCCCAACCGCCACGAGCTCGTAACTCGCAATGCGGAAAGTCACATCACCATTGATGAAGCCAGACACTGTGCACACATGCCATCTGATGGTGTGGTGTTCCACTGCATCCGTGAACTGGAAGAGCGGACATGGACACAGTCCCTTGCACAGCATCATCGTGCGCGGGTGATCCTGTCCATACTCGTTGCGCCCCCCAGAGCAATAGCAAGAGCTGGTGATCGGGGTCGGGGTGGTTTTCCCTCCCTTGAGCGAGGACCAGCTCATCAATTTCCTCGCGTAGCCATTCCAGTCTTGTCGTTCAATGAAGTGCCAATCACATCGAAAGCACCTGTGAAAGTCGGTGCCCTCTTCAGCCCCACAAATTGCACATATAGGTGTCTCCGTCGCCTGAACTGCATGCAGTCTCACCTGATTGTAGAAAGCACCAGCCAGCCACGTCCGAAGTAAGCCTGCGTCTTTGAAATCTCCGTGTCTCCGAAGTCCAGCGATCTCTTTAATAGCTGGCTCCAGGATGGGGGGGCCCGTGAGTCCTTCCATCCCCCGACTGCCTGGTATCGCCTCCAGAAGGCGCCTCCTGGTGGAAACGTTGATCAATTTCCTCAGCGTTCCAACTCCGATGTCGTCCAGATCAACTCTCGAGTCACGCTCTGAGTACCACATATTCCAACGCTCAGCTCTCCAACCCGGCCGTCGAATAGTCATGAGTACCGCCCCCGCTGGTCCTTGCACGGACTGTCACAATCTTGTATGGTTCTGCGCGTGCATGCAAGCGAGGGCCATCGCCTTGGGCTTGGCCCATTTCTCCCACTTCGCTTTGAGCCGATACGCCAGTGGGCACTCGTCTGCGATGAACGTCGGGTCTGACTTGGGACAGTGTGACAACACAAACTCCATCGTCCTGCTCCTTCCCTTTGCAGACCCAAATTGCGCATGTGCTGATCGGGCACGAATATTCTGCAATTGTGTGTCATGCCCTGCACCTTAGCTGTGTAGCCAACCGATGCCAGGCCACCAGATCGAATCAACTTGCCCAGCTGTCTGCCTCCTTGTGCCAACCTGCGAAAACGTGCCACTCTGCGCCCAACAGCTGCAACTCGACTGCGATGAGTTGGTATGCGTGCCCCACCTCCCATGCGTCAGTCATGTCCAAGCTGTCGGACAACTCGTGCACGTCGGAAGGCCCAGTCACTCAGTGCCATCTCAGCTTCCTTTGCCTGTCTCGGTGCCGTCGCAATAACGTGCCCTCTGTTCAGGCTCAGCTCCAGGTTTGGCTTGACCAGGAGTCTGCACAAATTCTTGACCGCCTCACTGATGATCCGAACTGCATCCTTCTCCGTGTCCGACGCTTGCAGGCTGCCGTCGTCCACGACCACGCTACTCGTGAGAGAGGGCCAAAGCGTGTATACCTGGTCGTACGCACCCCAAGTGAACATAATCATCGTGGTAGTGGGATCCGAACACCCCGCGATGACCCCCTTGGTTCGTGCAAATGAACCTGGATGCTATCTTTCCAAACTTGAAGCTCCTTCTACCCGCGCAGGTCTTGATGATCATGGCAAGCCTCCGCCTTGGAAAGTGGTGCCGACAACCTATTGCCCACAGGGTAGCGTGCGACATCTTCTCGACGGCTTTCTTCAAGTCCAGCATCACCGTGACCGAATGCCTCGCGAGTGCTCTACCTGCCTCTGCCACCACAGACTGCGTCCACACTTTTCTTTCGAAGCCTTTTCCAGAAGCCGCATAATGGTAGATCGAGCATATTATTGACACCAACCGTGCTGAACATGCCGTCGACACCTATTGTAGACTCTGAGCGTGTCCGTCATCAGGCCGATCAGTCGATGTCCCCCTTCTGGTTTGGGGAGCCGTGGTAAAGCCGTGTTCGTCATCTGGCCGGGTACCTCTATGCTCCTCTCTGCCACCTCCATCACCCCACTGAAGGCGTTGAGGCAATCATCCGAAAGCAGCGCCATGTTTCTGGGTCCCAGCTTGTCGATTCCAGATACTGCCTTTGCCTCGCAAGTTTGTGCTGTCTTTCTGATGTGTTTTGCTTCGAGAGGTTCCATCAGCCCATCATCCCCCCTGTCCTGCAACCGACGACCTGCTCCAAAAGAACATGCATCAGGGTCATGATTCCAAAACTTGAGCTAATGCTGGAGGTCCGTGTCGAGCGTTGTCGCATGGGACTTGATGCCCGTGGTTGGGTGAATCTCTGCTTGTGTCCACCTCGTTGGTCCCCTGCTCCATCTATGCGCCTTCGCGTCTTCCTGTTCGATGGATGTTGCTACTGTCTGCCGCCATTCTCGCACTCTCTGCTTAGCATAACACTGCTCAACCTCGGTGGCCTCCTGCGCTGCAAACCAACTGCCATCGCGAAGCCGATCATTCTCCCAACTCCATTCATGATCAAGTCGGTAACAGAAGACCTCCCCCGCGCTTCCCATTTTGAGGTTTTTCTTCTTGAGGTTTGCGAGTGTGCTCAGGCGTTGTGTGACAACGTTTGAGTCCAATCTCCACTCTCTCTTCAGCGCATGAATCGGATCCTGCATGGCCATGGACGCCCTCCTCCAGCATCTCGCACGTCTACTCAAAGGGAGCTGCGATGGTCGCGGGCTTGTCGTTCACAACATTCAGCTCCTCGAAATCGCGTGGACTCATATTCCAATCACCTCCAATGATAAAGGGCCGCCTAAGACTCTTGAGCTGCTCAAAGCATTGTAAGATCATTTAGGAGGAGGAGGAGGAGGAGGAGGAGGAGGAGGAGGGGGGGGAGAGGGGGAGGAGGAGGGGGAGGAGGAGGAGGAGGAGGAGGAGGAGGAGGAGGAGGAGGAGGAGGAGGAGGAGGAGGAGGGCCACATGCCGGGAGGCTTGCCGCACGCCGCCTCGGTGGGCCACGGCCCGGCGGGGAGAGCGGGGGGCCTGCCTCCGAGGCGGGCCCCGCACGCCGTGGCGGAGGGCCTTCGCCTGCGGCGCGTCTCTCCCTCGGCGGGTGCCGGCGGAAGGCCGACGCCGCTGGCCTCCCGGGGCTCCCTTTCGGCTCCTCCCGTGCGGTTCGGTTCGGCTCCTCCCTTTCGGATCCCTCCCGTTCGGCTCCTCCCGTTCGGCTCCTCCCGTTCGATTCGATGGTTCTGCCCATGGCTCCCGGCTCCGAGGCGCTTCGGCCTGGGCTCCCGCGCTGGATTCATTCCGGTCTCTCGGTGGAGGCCCTGCCGGCCTGCCGACGACTTCTGCCGATTCGACGGATCCCGACTTGGCTGCCGGTGTTCGCCGATCTGCTTCGGTTTGATCGCCGGCCCGATCTTATCGATCGATTCTGGTCGGAGGGCACCAACTATACACCAACACCGATCCTGGCCCAGGACCAGCCTGGGCCCAGGATCGGTGTATATGCCCTCGCCCGACCCGAAAAACACCTTCCGAGGATCCTCGAGAGAAGAACGGCGGTGGGCCCGCCGGCGGAAGGTGGCGGAAGGCTGGCGGGAGCAGAAGCGAGACGTCATAGTTTCTGGACTCCGAGCTCGCGGGGTCGGCCAAGGGGCGCGGCCGCGTGCTCGGCCGCTAGCCGCTGGCTTCTTTTCGGCACCACGGCCCCCCAAGGCGAAGCGCAAAGGACGGAACATACAGAGCCCCGAATCATCAGGGGTAACTCGGGTCAGGGATAACTCGGGTTCGTTTTTCGGGAATCCGAACCCGAGTTATCCCGGACCCGAGTTACCCCGGATATTGCGGGCGTCCAGAGCCCCGAATCATCAGGGGTAACTCGGGTCAGGGCTAACTCGGGTCCGTTTTTCGGGAACCCAAACCCGAGTTACCCCGGACCCGAGTTATCCCGGATAATTCGGGCGTCCAAAACATACAGCAGCCATCGGAGGTCCGCGCGGGTTTCTTGGGTCGGTGTTGTGCCCCCTTTGGGCGGCGCCTCTGGCGCAGCCCACGGCGCACTTCCCGCGCCAGGAGAAGGGGTCCAGAGCCGAGCCAAGAAAGCCGCGCGGACCTCCGAAAGCTAATGATACAGCAGGGTCAGGAGGTTCAGACTTGTTTCATCGAGTTGCGTTTGCTCTTCCTTCTGTTGCAAGTTTATTCAATGCTAGCTGTTTTTTTGGTTATCCCTCGGTATATTTGTTCTCTCTCTCTCTCTCTCTGTTAGCCTTTCGCTGTCTTTTGTTTTGATCTCTCTCTCTCTCTCTCTCTCTTTTTGTCATCCCGCCTCTCTTCTTCAAAGGGCACGGCCAACCGAGATTCCTTGCTGGCCAGCCTGTATCTCTCTCCTCTGCTCTCTCTCTCTCTCTCTTTCTCCTCTCTCTCTCTTTGCCTTTCTTTATTTGTTGTTTGCTTTCTCTCTCTCTCTCTCTCTCTCTGTTTCTCCCTCTCGCTTCATCTGTTGATCGCTCGAGGCTCGAGGCATGACTCCTCTCTTTGTCTGCGCGCTGGCAGCACGGCTCTGGTTCGCACGCGGACGGCATCCTGCATTGCTTCAGAAGACCGTGTTGCAGGATACTGGTTCGAAGGTCAGACACTAATGTGGCAAGTCGACGTCGCTGTGCCTGTCTGGCAAAAGCGGAGGACGCGCAAGCTGAGCATGTGAAGGCGATCAAGGACTCAGAGTATTCGAAGGAGTTCGCGGCGTCCCTCGTCGTTCAGAGTGACGAAGCCCCAGGCGACTATTTGAACGAAGGACCTTGCAGGGCGGGTAGTATGGCAGTGGGAATGGCGACGAGATGTCGTGTCGCTTTCGGTTCATCCCCATTCTGGGGGGCCTCTTCCAGCCGATCTTTGCCATCATCCGAGTAACATTGTTGAGGAGTGAACAAGGGGATGATTAGCGGGCAGAGGAGAACGACAGGCCCCGATCATGGGTTGGAGCGCAACTTTTTTCTTAGTGTTACTGATTATGCATCGGTCTGTGATGTTGTGGCGGTTGCAGTTTCAAGCAGCAGTGCTACACTTTACAGGCGACAAGTCTCGCTTACGAACGCAGCGCAATCCAAGCGCTCAAGTGCAGCAAAGAACTTGCAACGCATGATGGACAAAGAGGAGCACATGCCGTCATGCAAGTGCGCGTGTGTCAATGTGTGGTTCAGCAGTTCAGCAAAAGGGTGCGGAAGCTATTGTCAAATCCTAACTCGTTCAGCTAGGTGTTTTTGTGTGACCACGTCGACAATCATAGTCAAGTCCAGTTGCTGCTCGTAAGCGGGCCAAACTGTCAAACCCTGCCCTGAACAAACACTCTCAGAGCTGATGTGAGCGTAAACGCACTCATGACTTAGTCAGTGCTTCACACATTCCTCACCCGCCCTTCATCTTCAGACGAGCGCTGTGAGGCATTGCTCTCCCGCACGGGGGCGGAGGCACGCAACGGGAAGGTGATGCAGCAGGAAGTAAGACAGACTGGATATGGTACGAAAGGGGAGTGGGGAGGAGACGGGCGCGAGGGAGGACTGACGGAAGTGATGGCGAGAGTGAAGGGTGGAGGAGAGAGAGAGAGAGTGAGTGAGGGAGGAGAGAGAGAGAGGGCAAAAGCGAGGGAGAGAAAGAGAGATAGACAGAGAGAGAGAGAGAGACATAACAAACAATAAAGAGAGGGAGGTCAGATGGAGGCAGGCAAAGAGGGACCGTTTACTTAGTTTGTGAACCTTCACGAAGGTTTCTTGGACGATGCTGGCGCGCCTTGGAGCTTCTCTGGGCCAGACGAGTCCGCCGTTACCCTTCCCCCGCCCTCGCCCCTCCAAATCGGCTGGACCAGGCTCCTGGGGGAGGGGCGGAGGTCGGGGAGGAGAAGTTGTCTCGCACGCCCACCAGGGAGGTCTGAGATATCGGCGAATGCTATCACTTTGGTTATCATCCTAACCCTGCTCCTCCTCCTCCTATAATTAATTTATGTATTCGCTCATTATCATCACCAGTTATCACAACCATCAATCATCATCGCCATCACCACCATCATCATCATCATCATCAGCATCATCATCATCATCATCATCATCATCATCAGTAGCATCATCATCATCATCAGCAGCATCATCATCAGCATCATCATCGTCATCCTCATCCTCATCCTCATTCTTATTCGCATCCTCATCCTCATCCGCATCCTCACCCTCATCCTCATCCTCATCCTCATCCTCGTCCTTTTGCTCGTTATCAGCATCAGCATCACCATCAGCATCAGCATCAGCATCAGTATCTGCATCATCACCGTCATCATCACCACCATCGTCACCGCCATCACATTCCTCATACTTTTACTGATTGGTACTATCTGACTCATCCTCGCAGTTCCCTTCATGCTCCTCTCCCTCGTCCTGCTGCCGCTTTCCCTCTTCCGTTTCGCAGCCGGTGGCACTTCGCGCCTCCCCGCCGCACTGCTCTCAACCAATCCGCGCCGTGGGTGATTAGGCCAGATCCCACTTGCATTCTGTTGTGTGATCCTTCATGGGAGCCTCAGAGGGTCCCAAAAGTTCCTGGCGGTTCTGGGAGCTCCATCTGGCGTCGACTTTGGTCAACATTTGGAGGACATCTCGACGACATCTGGACGAAGTCTGGACGACAGGTTGAAGAGGGGTGGTCGAAATCTGGACGACGTCCGGTCGGCGTCAGGTTTATGATGGAGCCGCAGAGGTCCACAGACAGAGGTCCCCATGAAGGCTCACCCAGGTCCTGCTGGTTGCCAGTCCCGTCGCCCGACTTGCGCTCGTCCGCGCACGCTGCGCAGACCACATCCGCCATCCGCGGGTCACACGTGCGCAGGCCGCTTCCGAGGCAGCGCAGGCTCAGGCCTCGGGCGTTGTTTGTGTGTTTGCGATGTGTGCCGCCCCCCCTCTTCCTCCTCCTCCTCCTCCTCCCCCTCCTCCTCCTCCTTTTCCTCCTCCTCCTCCTGCTCCTCCTCCTCATCCTGCTCCTCCTCCTCCTCCTCCCTCCTCCTCCTCCCTCCTCCCTTCTCCCTCCTCCCTCCTCCCTCCTCCCTCCTCCTCCCTCCTCCCTCCTCCGAGGGTCACCGTCCCGCGTGGCCGCGCCTGCGCCCGCGGGCGCGCCGCGCCGAGCGCGGGCGCGGCGGCGGCGCGCGGAGGCCGCCGCGCCCCCTCTCAGGAGCGAGAGACGGGCGTACACGTACACTGCATCCACGCTGGTTTCGAACGTACGAGACACCCCGCTTGCCTCCAGGGTGCCCTGAGTTTCTTGGGGTTCGATGGTTCTGCGATGGAGAGCGCCACGTTCCCACGCGAAGAATCCATGGACGTCCTGGGGTCTCAGGGTTGGGTCTCTTGTTTCAGGTTCCTTGTGGTCGGGACCCCACTGTACGCACTGTGTGGATGTTCGCATCAAGAGGCTGGTCTCACCGACTGGGGGTTCGTACTCATGTACGTGGTTGGGCGCGCACGTCCTTTTTGTGGGCTCCCCTCCTGTTGTGCCCAATCTGGCCCCACTCGTCGCGGCAGAGCGCCGGCGGAGGAGGCATGGGGGGTGTAGGGCGAGCAATAGGCAATCCCCCCGGACCCCCATCTCCTCCTCCTCCTGCTCCTCCCCCTCCTCCTCCTCCTGCTCCTCCTCCTCCTCCTCCTTCGCGCCCTTCCCGCTCCTGTTGTGCCCAATCTGGCCCCGCAGTGCGCCTCCGTGGCCTCCACCGCGGCTTGTTGCCAAGTCTCTGCGATCCAAAAAGTGTGGTCCAAGGCGTGATCCTCTGGGAGCTCTCGGCCCTGCCCTGGGACCATTTTTTGAATTCAAAAGTCAGCTTGATTCAATAAATCAGCTTCTTGAATTCAAAACCAGTTTTTTGAATTCCAAAACCATTTATTTGAATTCAAAAACCAGCTTCGCTCCGGGCAAGTTTTTGATTGGCCCGCGTGGTTGAAACAGGGCCCTCGGAGGGCCGGGCTTGCGAACAAGAACCGCCGCCGTGCTTCTCCGGGGGCTCCAGGGGCTCGGGAAAGATGGGGGGGTGGGAACTGGGGAAATGAGAGGAACCATCGCCATCTGGAGAATGCTGTCCCGCTCGGGCAAGCAGGACAAGCAGCGGCTGGCTTAGCAGGGCCAGGTCACCGAGTCGCGACGCCGCCGGCCACCGTCCGTTTCTGACCCCGTGGCGGCCCCGGCCAGCAAGAAGGCGGGGCGCAGACCTCCGACGTCGTGTTTTTTCGAGTTGCAATCGAGTTTGATTATCAGCTCGACCCTCCCAAAGCACGGGTGCTCTTGTGTCCTGTGTGTGTGGCGTCTCATGCCTGCTGCATTCCAGGGGCAGGGGTGCCCTGGTTTAGAGGCCATGCTGCCCTCGGAAGAGTCTTGTGTCCTCTCGCGTATCCTTTGATCGATCTCGCCTGTGCCCAGAGCTCTCGACCACTCGGAGGATGCCCGAGGGCGATCCTGGCCCAGGGTGCCCCCCAGCTGTTCGTGCCGTTTTGGAGCTCCCCGCGGCCCTCGGGGCTTTGCAATGTGCGCCCTAGAGGCCAGCCATCTGGGCCTCCCCGGAAACGCTGGAGCCACCTTGAGCTAGGGTCACCTCTGGCAACATCCGCCCGAGCTATTTTCTGACGGCCCTGAGACCCGAAGTGCGCTTCTGGAGGCCGAGGCTGAGGGAACGCCGCCGGCATCGGAGACGTCGCGACGCCGTCGGAGGTCGGGGGAGGAGGAGGCCTCAAGATCGACCCCTGGACATCTCCTGGGGCGCGTTCCGCCCACAATATTGAAGGATCTTGCAGGGAAATCCATGCGCAGTGACGATACGCCTCCTGGAGGCCCAACGACGGCCAAACACGTCCAAGAACCGCGATCCTAGATCCCCAATGTTGTTTTTAAGGGGGGAGGGCGACGTAGACCTCCAGGGTGTTCTTCCATCCATTTTCATCCAGCGTCTTTTAGCGACTGTCCCAGGCAGGGCCCTGCGCCAGAGGCAGAGCACGCGACGAGGGCGTCTGGGATACACTGAGAACTGCAGGGTCCGCGCGTCCGTGCCAGGCCAGCGTTTTCTGCGACCACTTGCGAACCGTATCCTTGTGGGTTTACTTAGCGCTGGAGCATCGGACTCCCCGTAATTATGGTATCAATTGGTTTCAGACGTCCTGAAAGTTTTGTTCCCCCGCTTGCATTTCAGAAGTTTGACCTGCAGGAGTACCCAGACCTCCAACGTCGTGATTTGTTCACCACGCGGACCCCCGCTGGCTCCGACCCTTTCCCCAGGGATGGCTTTTCGTCCTGAGCCAGTTTTTTATGGTCCTGGGGCCGGGAATCGGCCTTGGCCGATCACAACATAAAGATACCATCGCAATCTGTTGCGACGCCCTAGCATTTGTGGTCGTCCCAGGTTCAGGGGTTCAAGCACAGATTTCTGGACCATTCCAGGGATGCACGTCAGTCCGGCCAGGACTTCGAGGGAGATCCCGCTGTGGCCACGAGAGCGCTCCAGAAGGCAGTCAAGAATTGCGAAAATTGTCCCAAAGCCTTGCGCCTCGGGGGCTCGGCCATCGATCCTCACGCTCCAAATGCAGTGAACGCTGAGCCTGAGTGCCAGAGTCACGAGATCTAGGCATCGCCGCGGAGGCAGGAGGAGGAGGAGGAGGAGGAGGAGGAGGAGGAGGAGGAGGAGGAGGAGGCAGTGAGGAGCAGGAGGAGGAGGAGGAGGAGGAGGAGGAGGGAGGAGGAAGTTGGAGGAGGAGGAGGAGGAGGAGGACGAGGACGAGGACGAGGAGGAGGACGAGGGCGAGGAAAAGGATCGATCAGGAGGAGGAGGGGGAGGAGGAGCAGGAGGACCAGGAGGAGGAGGAGGAGGATCGAGGAGGAGGAGGAGGAGGAGGAGCAGGAGGAGGAGGGCCGATCACGAGGATCAACAGGATCGAGGAGGAGGGTCGCCCTGGCGGGGCGATCGTCCGGCCGGGCCCGCCCCCGGGGGGCGAGGCCCGCCGCCGCCGCCCCCGCCCCTCCGCAGGCGCCCCGTGGCGGCGTGAGCCGCGGCTCGGGCGGCGCGCGGTTCGGAGACGGCCCGGCCTCGCCTGTCGGGGCCCCCCAAATTTCGGGGGCGCCCAGGAGGGGGGTGATGACTGGGGTTAAGTCGGGCCTGTCCCATCGACAGGGGGACTATGAGGGGGGTGATGACGACAAAAAAAAAAAAAAAACTTCGGGGGCGGAAAAGAGGGGGGGGAAAGAGGGGGGTGTGATGACTAGGGGGGGGTGGATATCATGGCGGGGGCCATGATACTTCCCCAGATTTGACAGCGCCTCTTCTTATTGCATTACGTCCCCGGCCCCCCCCGCTGGGCCGCGCACATGCCGCCGGTCATGATTTGCACCCCCCCCTCTTGGACACCCCCCTCTTTGCCGCTCCCGAAAACTCGCGGGCGCCCAGGAGGGGGATGATGACTGGGGTTTTAAGTCGGGCCTGTCCCATCGACAGGGGGACAATGCAAGAATAGTCAAGCACATGGTCAGGGGGCGTTTTTTTGTTTATATATATATATATACATATATATATATATATATATATATATATATATATATATATATAGAAAAAACAAGGTTTGCGTATTTGGGGGCATGTGTTTTTCGTCCAGAATCCGCCTGTAGGATGACATGCCCGACCTGGGCAGGGGGGTGGATACCATGGCGTGCAGTGGTCTGCGGACTCCACTCTTGGACGCCCCCCTCTTAGACGCCCCCGAGATTCGGGCCATGGGGCGATCGGCATGGCGGGCGATCGCCAGGGGAAGGGGCCGAAGAGGAGGGAGAGGAGGAGGAAGAGGAGGACCAGTGTAAACCCAAGACTCATCAACGATGTTTGAGTCAACCCTCCCTCCAAGCTTCCTCTTCATAGGTCCCTGCAAGAATTCATTTTCACTGCGGGAAGGGCCCCGTTGAAATGCAACTGTCTGAGAATCCTCAATCTTGCCGAAACGCAAATTCTGCAACGTCAGCGCCGCGAGTCAACGTTACTGTTGCGTCCTGATGATCCCAAGTCGTGTCAGAACTCATTCCTAGGAGTTGGACGCATCGAATCAACGGCTGTTGCGCCCTGACAGCCCTAAACCGTGCCAGAATACAATCCTGGGACGTCTGCCTTAAAATGCTTTGGAAGGGTTATGAACTGTTGAAGCGAATTTGCGCGGCGCCAGCGCTAGAGCCGCATCTTGACAATGATATACTCATCATCATGAAACTGTTGTGAACTTTTAAAGCGAATGTGTGCGGCGAAAAAGCCATTGCCACATTTTGACAAGGAGCTGTCCTCCATCAGTGAAGCTCTTGCGATCTTTTGAAACGCGTGCACGGGGCTTTATGGTGAGAGTCCCATTTTGAAAACCATTCGCCCTCCGTCCACGAAGCTCTTGGAGGCTTTCAAATCGAATGTGCGCGGCGCCCAGGCGGGAACCACACTGTGAAATCGGCCGGCTCTCCATCCGTGAAGCTTTAACGAGATGGGGGCCCGTGGAGCGGGACAGGCAGTACACCTGGAAAGCGCACAACGGTGCGCCGCATAGGATCGACCACATCATGCTGAAGGAGCACATCTTAAGGCGGATGCCCATCATCGGAATCGGCAACACCTTTGACAGCACAGGCAAGCGCAAGGACCATGCCCCAGTCTCGGCCTACTTCAAGGGCCAGATTTCAGCGCAGGACCCTGGCGCTAAGAGGACCAAGAAGCTTGACCAGGTCAAGCTAGCGGACCCAGCCATGCGGGTAGCTTGTGCAGCTGCGCTGGGCCAGATCGAGCTCCCGCCATGGAGTACGGACGTCAACCAGCACTACCACGAGATGCAGATGGCCGTCCAGGAATGCATTGCGGAGCTCTTCAGGCAGGGCAGGTTCACGCCGAGCAAGCCCACCCTCGATCCGCAATGCGCCCCGCCAGGGCCAGGAGATTCGTGCAGAGGGCCATCCGCAGATTTGAAGACGGCAGCCAGCTATCGCTCCAGCTACTGCGCAGCGGGCTTCCCGACGAGCAGCACCTTTTCTCGGAGTCTTGGGACCTTTGGCACAAACCCTTGATGCAACTCTGTCTTGCCTGCAAGACACTGGATTCACGAGGGCTTGTCTGCGTGCATAGGCGCTTCCGCGACGACGCGCTGGTTTTTATGCAAGACCTTCCTCACAGGTGCCAGGAACGATCTGATGGAGGAGCTGGCCAACCAACTCAGGCGTACTAAGAATGACAATGACCCTGCTGAGCATTGGAAGATTGCGAAGCGCATCCTGGTCTTAGGTGGCAGACCGATCAAGAGGTCGGCGATATACCCGGAGCGCGATGACACTGAGGGCAACGTCATCACCACAGATCAGCAGCTCTGCGAAGAAAGCCTCGACTACTTCGCCGGCGCTGAGCAGGCCAGGGTGCAGCCGCCCGAGGGCCTGATCACGCGTTGCAACGCCACTGCCCAGACGGTCGAACCACCGCGAGACTTTCCAGCACGCCAGCTGCAGTTTTAAAATAATATTCAGCGCAGCTTCCAGGAGGCCAAGCTCAGGAAAGCCAGCGGACCCGACGGGATCCCCAATGACGCCCTCAAGGCCTGCTCGAGAGCCATGGCCAGGATCTGGCATCCTGTGCTCACCAAGGCGCATCCACTTGGTCAAGAGCCCCTGCAGTTTAAGGTCGGCACGGCCGTTGAACTGCACAAATCGGGCTCGGCCAAGCCCTTCGCCAACTACCGTGGCATCTCGCTCAGCAACAACGTCGCCAAGCACCGCCATGCCTACCTGCGCAGACTGGCTATCGACAGCCATCTTGGCCTCATGAGGGCCACGCCGTATGGAGGCATCCCAAGTAGAAGAACGGCCATGGCGACCCACTCGATCAAGGCATTCCTGCAGGTCTGCAGGCGGTTGAATTTGACCAGCATCGTACCTGTGATCGACCTCGAGGCGGCCTGCTACACAGTGGCCAGGTAGCACGTCGTTCGGGGCCCCGCGGACTTCGAGGACTTGGAAGACAGTTACCGCGTGCAGAACATACCCACATGTATGGAGCCCGCCCTCGAGTGCCTTCTGGAGAGGCCGAGTGCGCTTCAAGCCGACGGGGTTGACGGCTCCCTGCACTTCGCTCTTGCCGAAGCGCACCGTCGCACCTTCTTTATCGCGCAGGGAGCTACTAGCACAGCCGAGAGCCGACGCGGCACGAGACCTGGCAATGGGCTGGCGGACTTGGTTTACAAACTAGGCTTCGCCAGCCTGCTACAGGACCTGCGCCGCGACCTACGCGACCAGGGGTACACGCTCCAGCTCCCACCTGGGGGCCAACGTGTGCTTGCCGCTCCGTCGGATATCCCGATCGACGTCGCCGAGGTCTCCTTTGTGGGCGATGCTGCCCTACCCTGTGTCGCTAGCTCCTGCTTCGACATTCAGGGGGCAGTGCTGGGCGTGGCAACCATGCTGGATAAGCGCATTCGGCTCTACGGTTTCACTCTCAATGTCACCCAGACGAAGTTCACGGTCAGATTCGACGGACCGATCTCCAGGAAGGCGAAAGCGAATATCGCGGGGATCAACTCCTGCATAATCCAGCACGAGAGCCTTCAGCAGCAGATCCAGCTTGCCGAGGCCGCGGTCGACCTTGGCACCGTGATCGACGCGAAGGGCAGCGAAGCACCCAACATGGCGAGGGGGGCGAGGGGGGCGCCCTGCAGCGGCGGGTCCACTGAGAGCCGCGGTCAACAGGATGAGCGGGCCCCCTTTGGAGGTCAAGACCACATTCGCCACGGCCCTCTGCAACGGCACCTTCACCGACAACGCCGGGATCTGGGAGCCGCATGGAGCGCGCCTGGAGGTTGGGGCTGCTGCCAGGTACCTGTCCTCGTACACGTCGTTTGCCAGCTTGGTCAACATCCAGGATGGCAAGCATTGGAAGGATGAGGAGGTTTACCTAGCAGCCAACCAGCCCGCCCTCGAGATCCTGCTGACATGCAGAAGATTGACGCATGTGGTAAGGCTCCTACACCATGGAGATCAGCAAATACTCCGATCCATCGACTTTCTTTGGGCTGCGAAGGCCTCCTGGAATCAACTCATCGTTGAAGATCTCGACATGCTGCGGCGCGATTTATTTTACAGGGGAAGAGATTCCGATTGCCAAACGCGTCACTTATCATGATTTGCTCGTTTCGTTTCGGGACATGGGTGAGCGCAGGGCGCCGAATTTGCTGGATAATGTATTCCGACGCGCACGAGCAGCCCAGCTGGAACATTTTCGACTTATAATTTGGCAACGGTACTTGTGCGAATGGGCACCAGCAGGCGGTGAACCGATGCATTCCCTTGTGTCAGCGACTTCGAGAGAGCATGCTGATAAAGTTGTTTGGTCTGAATGTGGCAAGGTCTTCGCGTCCCACGGAGTTTGGAAGCGAGATCAGACCTGCGCATCGCGCGCGACGAGATGATGCCAGGCTCATCCGAGGCGCGCTTTGCATGAATTCCGGGAAGGCTTTCCATTGCCGTCCAGCTCTTCTCCGACATGTGCTGTGCCGATTCCCACGTTGCCTTGGATGTCATTGGATTTCCGGCACGCCAATGGGCGACTCTGCACTCGCAGAGGCTGACGACACCGTGGCAACAAACAAAACAGCGCAGCCAAGTTGAATAATCAAGGGCTCCGTGATGGTAAGGCCCTTATTCCGCCGACGCCAGCTGACCCCTATTGCGCAACTCCTTTGTTGCAGTGCTCTCATGATTGGATTGATGATGTGATCCCGATATATCGTGAATGCCCAGATGAGGAACTGCAGGGGGCCATATTTACCCTACCCGCTTCTATCCCTATTCAAACTCATTATGTGCTGCACCTTTTCAGTGGACACCGCAGAGAGCGCGACCTACAATATCGAATTGGGAAGATGGCAACATTAATGAGAACCGCAGTCATCGTTCTGTCGCTCGGTGTCAAAAACTGACCCAACCTGCGGGGGCATGACTAAGGAAGGACAAGAATGTGCAATGCTGGACGCCAGCGATCGCGCAGGGGGCTAGTCATCGCGATGGCCGGAGGCCCGCCCTGCGAGACCTGGCGGCCCGCGCGCTGGCTGGGCGACGCGAGGGGGGGGGCAGGCGACCGCGGCCCCTCCGCGCGAGGAACCGCCCGTGGGGGGCGGCTCGCCTCACCAAGAAGGAGAGAGGGAGCAGGTGGGCCTCGGCGGCGCGCTGATCCGAGCCTTCTGCCTGCTACTGCTGGCAGCCAGACTACGAGGGGTGCCGTGCAGCATGGGGCACCCCGCCATCGCTCCTTGGCGGCCATAGGGCATCGCCTCTGGGGAGACCCCCGAGTTGGAATGGATCAGGGGCAGCGGCGGCGTGGACTACTCCCAGGGCGACCAGTGCTGCTTCGGCGCCGACGCCAAGAAACCCACCGGGCTGATGGCCGCAAACATGCCGCAGCTCCAGGCGCTGGCCATGGACGCCCCTGGCCGAGGCCGCTGCTGCCACTTGGGCGGACACGTGGCTGCGGTAGGTCGTGGTGCGCAGGGCGCCAGGAGAACCTCCCCTTCAAGGTTTATCCTCCCGATTTGTTTCTTTTCCTGGCTAAGGCCCTGGTTGCCAGATGGTCCAGGGACCTCCTCCCGTCCTGGGAAGCATGACCAGTGCCCGAGGCGATCTCACATTTTTTTGTCCCCCTCGACCCGTTTTTCGATTTTAGTTCGGGACATGATTGTTGGCGGCCTGCTTGACGTCCTGGGGCCCAGGGTCCCGTTCCCTGAGGGCGTTCTGGCCCCGTGGTCCTTGGGGCTCAGGCCGCTAGCTTTCGTGCGTAGTGCAAGTGGGTCGTGGATGCGGACTCCCGTCGCTCCTCCCTTCGACGGCTGCGTCGGCGACGGTCACACTTCATCTGCTTGTACGTTGGCGACGCCCTCTTCCCCTGCTCCAGCGTCGGCTTGTCCGACTAGGCCCGTCGCGCGTGGGCCAGCGTGGGTTACGTAGGGCACGAGTTCAGAACGCTTTAGAGCAGGAGCGCAGAACGCAGAACGCAGGAGGAGGGCGGGGTACGTCTCAGGAAAATGGATGGAGGACGAGGAGGAGGAGGATCGAAGAGGATCGATCGGCGAGTCAGCGGGGATTCGGCGTGACCGCACGGGTTTGGGACTCGGTTCGTTTTTCGAAGATGTCTCTCGGGCGACTGGGGCCCCGTGCGGTGGCGGGCCCCGTGCGGTGAAGCCTTCCTCGGGGATTCCGAGGTCACCGCACGGTGTGTGAGCCGTCGACTCCTCAGATATCCGAACCTATTTTTCCGCGCGAATTACTCATCCACTGGGGTGATCCAGCCTCGGGGTGCTTTCCGGCAGCTGCGCCTCGCCGAGAGCGTTCCGGAGGTACCCGAGGCGCCCCGGACGCCTCCAGAGACACGAGCTGTGGCCCGAGAGACAGTAACGACAGCATGGTTCATTCATTTTCAGCCTTCGCCTGGCCTCGGGGCTGTCCAGTGGTTCACGATGGAAAGCCGGTCCCTGGAGAAAGGGCCGAGGCCTCTGGGGGTCCACGTCGTCAGGGTTTAGGAAGCCATCGGCGTTGCGGCACGGCAGGTGCGGGGCTGTCGGCTCGGCTGGTGTCTGGGTGCTCGCTCACGGGCGCTGTTGGGAACCCGCCCGGAGCTGCCACTTCAGGACCCTTCACCGGGAATGGAGGCGTTGTCCGCGCCGGGGAGGGTTGGGTTCGCCAGGTCGATGGCCAAAGCGCCTGTAGGTGTCAGGGGATCGCAAGCATGGATTCATCAAGGGGGCGTGGATTGGCGACGGGACCTGTTTTCATAGGAAATCGCGAATTTCCGCCGCCGAGCGAGGCGGCACCGGGGCCGCATTTTGGGGACAGCATGGATCGCTAATCCATGTTTGCGCGCCCCCGATGGTGGGGTCCCGTCAGGGGGCGCTGATCGACATGGCCGTCTTCGAACTTTTTAACCGACGAGCAAGCAACGACACGAGCATGATGTTTGGGGATCCGCGCGGAGTTCTTCGGTCGCTGCAGGACCCGGGCGCCTCTGGCGCCGCTCCTGGTGCGCCATGGGGAGGGTGCGGCGCCGTCCCAAGACATCCGTGCGGGCTTCGAACGTCTATAGTGGGAGCGCGCATCAAGAAACCGTATGCTTTTCCTCAGGGTATCCCGGGGTTCTTCGCTCCTCGCGCTGCGCGGTGACTTCCCGCAGCCGTTAAAGGAGGAGCTGCTGCGTTCAGGGTGCTCCAGGTTTCCCCTCAGGTGCACCCTGCGCACGGGTTCTCAGTCGGGTATAGCCAGGTCCCCAGGTAAGGGGTCCCGATAAGTAGTAGTGCCCCGGAGCCCCTACATTAGCTAGAATCGCCAAACGAGGTCTGCCGTAGCTGGTGTTTTTTCGGGCTACGGCAGTTCCGATTAGTGGAACGGGGCGGGGGGTGCTTCCCCCAGTACACATCACTAAACCAGGTCCTGCTAAACCCAGTTCTGCCAACGCCCGACTCAGGGTTGGGTTTCTTGCGAGGGTTTCTTGCGGCCGCGCCCGCACTCTGTGCTCTTGCAGCTTCCCGCGCTTCAGTTTAAAGCCCATGGCGTGCATGAATCAGGCTGACGCAAGCGGGGGTCCAGCTAAAAGGGGGTGTGATGCAATAGATTTGGGGCAAGCGTATTGCAAATGTATTGCGCCAGAGAATACGATTGCATGCAACGACTGTATTGCACGCAAACATCCAGCAATCCAGTTGGCCCGGAATGTATTGCATGCTCCGGATCTGTTGCAGCCCTACAAATCTATTGCACTAACTCCATTGCGCCACCCCCTTTAGCTGGACCCCACTTGCGTCAATCATAATGGAGCGTAGACTTGTTTATAAAGTTCGAGACGGACGACCTGCGCATGGCGCGCATCAGCCGCAGTCGAGCGGTGCCACGAGGGGAGCTCGGAGCGAGACATTGACACGGAAGCGTCTGCGGTGCCCGCCAAGAACTTAACGAGGACCGAGGTGTGGGGCACGCGCGTATGTCAAATGCAACCCGCACATCACCAGAGGAGGAACATGTATTCATACCGCTACCTTCGCCCCGTTTTCCCCTTCTTGGGCCTCCTCGGAGGCCCTCGTCGCCACCGCTGGATTCGCCGCGAAATTCTGGTCAGAACGCACCCCGGGAGAGGTCCGGCGAGCAGCGCTGTTGGTACTTTCTGATTTCCCCACACCATGAAGCGTTTTTTTGTGGTGTGGTGGGCTGGGGTGGGTGGGTGGGTGGGTGGGCGGGACATGTGGGTTCCATAGTGTACACCCTGCGAGCGGCACATCAGTAGCGCTGCCAGAGTACCCTCGCTGGGCCGCTTGACGGCGGTTGTTTTGCCTCTGGCCTTGGCGACCACGATCCTGCATGCAGTCGATTAGTCGGTGCCAGCGCTTTTACGCTCGGCGTGTGTACATTTGAATTCGTCATTTAGAACCGCGGGCGTGTCTAGCCTCCCGTAAGTATGTCCCTCTTTGGAGCCACAACGCTCTGTTCCACACAAGCTTCGGAGGTCGAAGTGACCATGAAGAGCAACCGCTGCGCTGTTTAGTCCGAGTGTTTAGCCGGAATCTTGGATTGCGTGGCTCTTCGGTGCAAACAGGGTAGGGTGGCAGGTGGGCGCAGGGTGCTTATTGTTTGGGCGCAAGGTGGAGTAAGGGTGAAGCATCTCGCAGTGTCACAACGGTGGATGTAGATCCCCTGGCTCGCCCGTGCTTCCACCTTCCCAGTGCGAACTGTTTCACTTACGCCACTCAGTGGCACCTCAGCTGCATTTCCTCAACTCTCCCGAGCATGATTCAGTGATTTCCCATGTGCCCGTTCGTCGCCGCCGTTGACGTCATCGTTGAGCGCCTTGGCAAGTCGGTTCAGTAGCGCCTGTCGAGCCGTCGCGATGTGCCCCCCCCCCCCAGCGGTGCAGCAGAGTGGCGACAGCTGCGCGCTGGGCAGCACCCGTGGAGGTCGAGGTCTCGGCTGGGTCCGCGTAGGACGCCACTCCGCTGGACCCCGCAGAGGCGCAGGAAAGTGCAGTGCCTGGCAGCATCTCGAGAGAGCGAGTTCTCATCCGGTTTCGCAAAAGGATGTCTGTCCGCTGGACCCCTGCATGGGCGCGGGAGAATGGGGGACAGTTGCACAGTTGGCAGCGCCCAGACAGATGTTGTGTGGTTCCTCGTTGGAGCCTCATAGGGTACCGAATTCCTTGCGTTTTTTTTGTTGCTTGGATTTTGTCGGGTTTGGTCGACATCTGGACGAAATCTGAATGACACCTGGACGAAAGGGTGAAGGGGTGGTCGAAATCTAGACGAAATCTGGCCGCAATCGGGTTTATGATAGGGCTGCCGAGGTAACAGAAAGAGCGAGGTACGAGTGATGACGTTCTGGTGTGGGCGAAGCCCTAAAGGGAGGGGTTCCAGGGGAGGGGGGTAGCGTGCACATTTGTGTGTTAATGGCCGTTTTCGGGTTTTCCTTCGGGTTTTTTACAGTTTTTCTGGTCCCCCCCAAGACGGCCCAAGAGCGCTCCAAGAGAGCCCAAGGCTGCCCAAGACTGCCCAAGACGGCCCAAGAGGCCCCCAAGAGGCCCCCAAGAGGCGCCCAAGGGGCGTCCCAAGAGGGCCCCAAGAGGCCGAAATCATAGATTTTCTTAAGGAAAACGTGTATTTTTAGCATATGCGCTTTGTCGGCTTTCACGGCGTTGACGACGGCCCAAGAGGCTCCCAAGACCGCCCCAAGACGGCCCAAGAGGCTTCCAAGAGGCCACCAAAACGGCCCAAGAGGGCGCCAAGACGGCCCAAGAGGCGCCCAAGACGGCCCAAGAGGGTGCCAAGACGGCCCCAAGAGGGGGACCACGAACCGAAAAGTCTAGCCTTTCGCCCCAAGACGCTCCCAGGAGGCCCCCAGAGCCCCCCAAGAAGCCCCAAGAGGCCCCCAAGAGGCGTCCCAAGAGGCCACCGGGAGGCGAAAATCATTAGGTTCCTATGGGAAAATGTACATTTTAGCATACAAGGCTTTTCGGCTTTCACTGCGTTGAAGACGCTTCAAAAGGCCCCCAAGACGGCCCAAGAGGCTCCCAAGAGGCCCCCCAAACGGCCCAAGAGGGCGCCAAGACGGCCCAAGAGGCGCCCAAGACGGCCCAAGAGGGCGCCAAGACGGCCCCAAGAGGGGGACGACGAACCGAAAAGTCTAGCCTTTCGCCCCAAGACGCTCCCAGGAGGCCCCCAAAGCCCCCCAAGAAGCCCCAAGAGGCCCCCAAGAGGTTCCCAAGAGGCCTCCAAAAGGGCCCGACAAGGGCCCCAATAGGACTCCCAAGAAGGCCCAGAGACGCCAAATAGAGAGCGATCGGTAACGCAAAAAGCTCTTCACACCAAGGCTCCCAAGAGCGAACGGTGACGTAAACAAGCTGATAAGACCAAGGCTCCCAGCAGAGAGCGGTGACGTAACAAGTTCCTGACACCAAGGCCCAGCGGTGGTGTGAATAATGTCGGTTTCTGTTTCTGAAGCGCTCTTTCCGTTTCTGTGCCGGGTCAGGTCCACAGGCTCCCATCAAGGCTCACCCGGAGGGAAGGAGAGGTCGCATGCTGAATCGCGTGAGACCGCGCTCCGCTGGAGCCCGAGGAGCGCCGTCAGGTTGCGGCAGCCCCGAGCCTGGCAGCACCGCGGGTAAAGCGAGGCCTCGTGCCCGTCCGCGCAGGTCACCGCTCCGCTGGGCCCCTCGGGCTCCGGGGATTTCCGGAGGTCTCCAAACTGAGGGTGAAGGCCTGCAGGGGTCCTGCCCCCCCCCCGCCTCGGCCATCGATCCTCTCCTTTCCCCTCATCATCCCGGATCTTCCTCCTCCTCCTCCTCGTTTTCTCGCTCTTCCTTCTCCTCCCCCTCCTCCTCCTCCTCCTCCTCCTCCTCCTCCTCCTCCTCCTCCTCCTCCTCTTCGACGATCCGCATCCTCGAACATCTCCCTTCTCGTCCTTATCCTCTACCATCCTCATTCTCGATCATCCTCCTCTCCCTCCTCTTCCTCCTCCTCCTCCTCCTCCTCGACCATCCTCATCCTCGATCATCCCCCCCCCCCCCCCCAGGGGAGCAGTGGTGTTGAGGTGCTCGCGCGCCAGGCAGAACGGAGGGCGCGGTCTCCTTCGGGCCCGCGCGGGTCAGCACTCCGCTGGACCTCCGAAGGGGGGCATGAAAGTTGCGTCTGCTGCCGCGTGGGCAGCGACGACGACGACGAGGAGGGGGGAGGAGGCCGAGGCGCCTCCCCTCCCCCGATCTGCGGCGGGCCCCTCCTCGAGGCCCCCCCCCTCCTGGCTCGGAGGAGCGCCGCAGGACCTCCACCGCCTCCGGGGGGGGGGGGGCGGGGGGGAGGGGGCAGGGGGGAGGGGGCTCAGATCACGTCAAAAACGTGGTGTGCGTTTTTGTTGCTTCTGTTTCCCAAGATCGACATGTGTTGGGGTACGTTGGTTTGTTCTCTCCGTTTGGGGGATTCTCGTTCGCGCCGTTTTCAGTTCGGTTCCGCTTTGCATGGCGGTCGTTTCATCTTTTGGAACTCAGTTAGTTCCCCGTTTCGGTTTCCTCTTCGTTTCGGTTTTCATTCTGGGAGGGGGGAGTTGGGAGGGAGGGCGAGCCTCCGTTTTGGATCGTGAGGATGCCTGGCGGCAATCAGGTGGGACGCGGCTTCTTTTTGAGACGCTGGGCAGGGGAAGAGAGCCCGGCTCAGCAGGGGTGTGAAATTCACGGCACTATGCCGTCGGGTGCCCGTCTCGGGCCCTCGGGGCCGCCTCCCCCTCTTCCTCTTCCTCTTCCTCCGTAGACATTTTGGCTCAAGATCCCAAATTCCTCAGGGGAACAAGTGGATACCGCTAGTCCGCGGCGGGCAAGACCCTTGTGGTCTGGCAGATACTTGCATCGACCCGCGCTCGGGTCGGTGGGTAATCGGAAGCGTTTCCCGTTCCTGCCCGCCCGAACGCCCAGAGTTCCTCAACCACTGTACATTCTCGTCCGCTCGCTGCTGGCAGCCTATGCCGAGTGATGAAGCCTCTGACCCCAGCCGCAGCAGCAGAGGGGCACGAGCTCGTCGTCGACGCAAGGAAGATAAAGCTCGTCGCCGCCGAGACCGACGCCGTGAGCCATCATCGTCGGATTTTTGCAGCAAGGACTGAGCTTCGTCAGCGCGATGCACGTGCCGATGGCCGCCGTGATGCGAGTGTTCCTTCTCATGGCCCTGGCGGCCACCATGGTCCTGGCGCTGTGGACTACCCGCGGCTCACTCCGAGCCTCGCGAGGGAGCTTGAGGCTGCGCCCGCGTCCCCTGATCACGAAGAGCGTGGTGGACGAGCCGATCCTCTGCATGGGGCGGACACCTGGCGCCAGGCACCAGCGCCAGCGGGTGGCCCTGCCCTCCCTGCTGGGACTCACGGTGGTGCCGCTCCTGCCCCTGCTGATAGTGACGGCTCTGCTGCAAGTGGGATCGAAGCTGCGGTCACGGCTGCGCTCTCGCAACAGATGGACGGGGTCCGCATCGATATCAACAACATCATGGACCAGGCGCATCGGGACATGCGCACCACGGTGGTGGGCCTCTTGCAGCCGCAGATTGCTCGCCTCGACAATCACAGCAGCGAGATTCGTCAACTTCAGGAGCGTACTGCGGCTTTTGAGGCGCAGCAAGGTGCTCTTCGTGCTGACATGGACGAGGTGCAACGCTCGCTGGCGCAGGCACGGGCTGCAGAGTCTGGCGCAGTGGACTTGGCGCGATTGGCATCGTACGACAGGCCACCTGACCCGAGCGTCTTCAGGATCGGCTGTGCCCAGGCTACCGCCGACAGCGAGGTCAAGAATGGCATCGCGCAGTGGATCAGGGAAGCGGGCATCACCGACGACCAGTTCGCGATTCACGGTCAGAGCCCTGGCAAAGTTTTCTACCTCCATCTTCTTGGGGGTGCTCCTGGGGTGGCTCGGGCGATCAAGCTCGCCCAGCATCTCCAATTACCTGGTGGGACCCGGCGGCGGTTCACAGCAGCGGCAGTCAGCGGCGCGACCGACGCGATGTACATCAACCCAGACAAGGCGCCCAAGCAAGTGCGAAAGGACATGCAGGCTAAAAGATTGCTGTCATCCCTTCAACGGCATTATCCAGACAGAGACTGGCGGCTTCTTCGGGCACGTGGTCTCATTAGTGCTGACGCCGTCCCCATTGTTGAGGTCCTGCCCCAAGGCGCAAACGAAGCTTCAACACTGGCATGGCCCCCAACAGGAGCGGCACACATTGGTATCAATATCCAGCAGATGGCAGATGATGTCAGGCAGCAGTTCTCGGGTGTGGACACTTCAGCTTGGACTCTATCCTAGCATGCGCTGGCTTCCATGGGAGGTCGAACAGCATGGGTCGCAAGAGCTTCGGGTGGTCAGCTGGAACGCTAGGGGCTTGTGCTGCTACAATCACAAACATCGTCGACAGAAGCTCGCCAAACTCAAACATCTTCTCATGTCCCGCCATATCATTTTGCTTCGAGAAGTTCATGGTAATCAGCTCACCCCGGAGGCCCTGTTAAATCAAGTCAATATCGGATACAAACTTTTCTACTCTGGCTGCTTGGATAACTCCGATGAGAATGACATCCGTGCCAGCCGAGGCGGAATCGCGATCATTGTTCCCTGGCATGATGAAGGAACATTGGCTCAGCTATACCCCGCTATTGTGCCCGAGTTCGACCATCATAGTCACGCCCCCGGCCGAATTGAACACCTTGCTTTGCGAGGCCCTGTTTCTGGCAAAGAGGTGCGGATCCAGAGTGTTCATAATTGCAAGATTTCCCGAGATCAACGCACTGCAGTCCGACAGCGTTGGTGCTCAAACGTTACATGGGCCCAACGCGATGAATTATCTCGTCTCTTTGTCGCTGCTGGAGAATTTAATGTGAGCGACGCGGTCAATCAGTCGCTGCTCTTCCCCCAGCGTCGCCAAGCTTGTCGCTCGCAGGATGGTCGGGCCTCCCAGGGTGAACCATTTTGGCGCGACCTCTTCTCGAGGGGCATGCTGGAGTTGGAGAGCCCGCTTCCGACGCGCTACAGCCGCGACACCGAGGCGCTGAGCACCATCGACCGCATCTTCATCTTCCTGAGCACGCGTGTCGTCACTGACTGCGACGCCACGCTCGACGTTGTTCACGAAGTTCCTCGGCTGTCTGACTGGGCCCTCTCGGACCGCGCGATCGCCCGCATGAAATTGGCCCCCAAGAGGCCCCCGCCGCAAGACATGTGCTCCATCCCGCCGGGCATCTTCAAGTTGCCGCGCTTTCGGGAGCTTTAGCAGAGCTGTATCGACGCGGCCCACCTCGACCAGCTGGAGACAGGCCCCAAGTGGGCCAGGCTGAAGGAGCTCATGCATCTGGCTGCTGCAATCACGCGTGATGAGATGCAGAAAGGGCTCTTGCCGCATGCTGGCACAGGGGCGGCGGAGCTGACGTGCATGGCGCTGCGGGCGATTGCTCGGACGGTCTGGCGGCAAGACGTGCGCCTCGCTCACCGGCTGCGCGGCTCGTCGCCGTTGGCCGAAAAGTACCTCCAGATTGGCCCGGACAACCTGGTATACCTGGCCCACCCGTCGGAGTACCGCGAGCCGGCGATGCGGACCAACCAGGGGCGCTTCGACGAGATGGCGCAGCAAGCAGCGAGGTCCGCAGCGAGGCGGCCCCGCCATGGACAGGGTGATGATCACCCCGCTGGCCCCGCGGACGAGGTCAGGCTCCGCCAGACTTCGACGCGGCAGGCGCTAGCGTGGAACCCGGCCAGGCGACGTCTCATCCTTCACGGCTTGAAGCACATGCAGGGCGGGAACATTGAGGTTGAGCGCAACGCGACCGCCATGGCTGGCTTGATCAAGCAGCACTGGGGGCCCATCTTCGCGGAGGCCACGCGTTCTCAGGTTGCGATTTCTGAATACCTCGACACCCATCTCCCGCCTATCCCTTTCAATGATCTCCCTCTCCCAAGTCTTGAAGATCTCGCGAAAGCGTTTAAACGCGGGCGGGCCTCCCCCCCTGGCCCTGATAGGCCCCGTGCGACGCGTGGAGGGCCGTTCCAGCAGCTGCCGAGATCTTTTATGAGGTGATGATACGGATTTTCGCGGGTGGGGGCCCTGCCGAGGGTTTAACTCATTCTAACTTTGCTTTCATCCCAAAAGGTGAGGACCCCGCTGACCTCACTGAGTGTGCGCGTGACGCAGGCGGCCTTAGGCCTCTTAATTTAAAGAGCACCGACAGCAAGGCCCTCGCCCAAACCGTCAACATTCACCTAGCCCGAGTAGCCAAGAAACATGTCCATGAAATTCAGCAAGGCTTCATACACGGCCGTGACTTTGGGTCTCACATTGTTAATCTTGATGCTGAGGCACGTCTAGGGAGCATTGATGATGATGCTCCCGCTCGTCGCCCATGCTTCCTCTCGTTCGATATTCGCGCGGCGTTCCACTCGATGTCACCGCACTGGCTCTGAATGGTTTTGGCTCGCTTAAACATCCCCCAGGGGTATTTGAATGCCATCCAGGCCCTGGGAATGGAAGCCGTAGGATACCTGAAGGTTGGGTCTGAGAGGCACCGTCGCTTCGAGATCTCCAGAGGTGTGCCCCAGGGATGCCCTCTGAGTGGCACATTGTGGGCCCTGGGTATGGACCCGATTTGTAGGCACCTGGCCGCGGCATGTGAGCGAGGCTCGCAGATCCTGGAGCCCGTCTCCTGGCCAGCTGGCTCGAGAGAAGAGCGAATCGAGCAGATAGTCCCCTCCCCTCCTCTCCGCCTCAATGCTGGTGCTTGTGCTGACGATGTTGGTGTGTCCCTCCCTGATCTCTCTCTCCTGCCGCTCCTCCACCCCCCATGTCAAGCTGCTTCTGATCTAGTTTGTCTGGATCTCCAGCCCAAGAAATGTTGTCTTGTCCCAACCTGGGCGACTCTCTCTGAGGCGGAGATAACCGAGCTTCGAGCTGCCGTGTCGGCGCTGGTCCCCGAATGGACCGAATTCGAGATATGTAGTTTCTGCCGATACCTCGGGATTCAAGTTGGCCCAGGAGCAACGGTGCAGGACCAGTTCGCCTCCGGTGGGCAGAAGTGGTGGGCCCGCTGCCGAATGGTAGCAGGCACGCGTGCCCCCCTACTGATGCATGCTTGCGCCTCTGTCGTATCCTCATCCTCCCATGTCTCTCGTACGTCGCCCAGTTATTGTTCCCCCCCCCTCTTATCCTTCAAAAAGAGGCGCATGCCCTGCGTAAGCTGCTTCGGTTGCCACCGTCGTCCTTCGGATTAAAGGAGTTGCACTCGCTTCGACGGCCCCGCGCTCCTGAGCCCATGCAGTATCTAAACTTCGCGTGCGTCCGGCGTGCCGCAGGACATACGTATAGGGGCTGGCGGAATGCATTGCGGCGTCTCCAGCTCAGAGCTACGGCCGAGGGTCCCTTTCGGCGTGCGCTGGCAGGAAAGTGGTGCGCCTCGCGCTGGAGGATCCAGGAGAGCATAATACAGCGCTTCTCTACCTTTTTCTCTCCCCCCCGTCCTCTGACCCTGGTCCCCTCACCTGTCTCCCCCTCGTTCGCTCCATCCTCTTAAAACCGCATGCCGATGCGAATGCAGAAACGGAGTTGGCCCTTTCGCGCCACAAACCTCCGCGGCTCCAAGTTCGATGCTCTCGGAGCCTCCAGTTGCATTGCATCCCTGATGGCATGCCTCAGCTTATCTTGCGTCGCATGTCCAAGTGGTTTCCTCAGCTCCCTCCCCCCCCGCTCCTCGAGGTCGGTCGTCGCTGGCGTCTTCTCCGCCCCGTCCTCGCCCGATCTTTGCCCTCCAGGTCCTGGCCTCATATCAAAACCCTGTCGGGGGCCTGGATCACTAGCGGGAGGGTAAACATTCTACTTCAGAGCACGTGTCGACTCGGATGCCCGTGTTCGGACGATATTGTTCATTACATAATTTGCCCACCCTTGTGGGCTGCGGCCTCCCCCCAAGCCTCGTCATTCCTTCCCCCCGATCCTTGGGTTCGTCTCGGGTTGGGGGGTGAGTCCGACTATGACGGCTTGGAGGTTGGCAGACAACGGGTCCACGAGATGGTGTCCGTCTCCTTCCACATTTACCACAAGCTGCGGAGCGCTCTGCAGCCACTCTCCGCCGCCACGGCCGCGCAGGTCGCCCAGGCGCGCGCCGCGGCCCGAACTGCTCTTTCATTGTAATCACAGCACAGACCTCCCCAAGGTACGTGCGCTCCTCCTCCTCCTCCTCCTCCTCCTCCTCCTCCTCCTCCTCCTCTTCCCCCTCCTCCTCCTCCTCTCCTCCCCCTCCTCCTCCTCCTCCCCCTCCTCCTCCTCCTCCTCCTCCTCCTCCTCCTCCTCCTCCTCCTCCTCCTCCCTCCTCCCCCTCCTCCTCTCCCTCCTCCACCACTTCCTCCTTCTCCTTTTCCTCCCCCTCCCCCTCCTCCTCCCCCTCCTCCTCCTCCTCCTCCTGCTTCTCCCCCTCTTCCTCCCACAGCGGTCATGAACTTTCTTCGGGGCCTCTTGGGTCCCGCGGACGGCGCTCTCAGACAGGGCCCTCCTGGGGCGTCCTGGCTCGTTGTTGGGCCGTCTTGTGCCTGCCTTGGAGCGGCGTGGAGCTCGCGCGCAAAATTGGCGGCCCAGCAGTCGCACAGAAACCATATGTGCCACACGCGTAGAGGAGGACGAGGGAGGGCAGCGGGAAGAGCGGAAGGAGGACGGATATCCCGAGGGGGGGAAGCGGAGGAGCAGGAACAGGACGAGCAGGAAACATATGTTTCGAATGACGAGGGGGGGATTTGGATTATCCGCGATTGCTCCAGCGCTGGCCACGCATTGGCCAAGGGATCTCGGGTTTTTAGCCTGATGCGTCCCACATCAGCAGCAAAACCTGATTTTGCAGGTGGATGCCAAATCTTCGATGGAGCGTCTGATTACTTCTATCCGTCTGCCGCACATTTCTTTTGTGGATCGCGTCGGCTAGATTGGTGCACGCTGCGCCTCCAGAGGTTCGCAAGTGGTTGTCCTCCGTGCGTCGTCAACTCCCCGCTGATCCCAATTGATACCAACACGTCAGCTGTAATGGTCTTCCTGATGCCGGCACATTATAATGACAATCGGGATCTGCTTTTTAACGCCTGGCAGTGGTAGCCATAGCCGCTTCTCCTCAAGGCAGGCCGGGAGGCCAGGGAGGAGAACCCCTATTATTGGCACCAGAGGCGCCTGTCAGCGGCGGGACATGTCTCCGCTCGTGGCGTTCCTGTCCCAGGGAAGCGGCACCCCCAGTTTTGGCTTCTCCGGGCCGCCCGCCGCGGGCGAGTCCAGGCCCGCGTCGCTGCAGGTCGCAGGAGGAAAAAGGAGGCCACCGGCATCGAGGGCCCATCAGGGGGAGGCCGACCCCTGGGCGGTGACACGCCCGCGCGCCATCCCAGGGGTGGACGACGCTCGGGCGTGCCGCCGCCCAGGGGCGGGCCTCCCATCGATGGGCCCAGGGTTCGGCGGCGAGGTCCGAACCCCACCTTCGGGCATCGCAGCGGGCATTCGGCGGAGTCGACCTGTGTTGACAGGCAGGTGCCGCTTGAGCTCACCTCAGGGGCAGCGTTAGGGAGGATAGGCTCAGGGAGGGGCGCATCGATAAGGGCCCGATAGCCCCGCCCCGCCGAGGGGCGTGCCCTGTCTCCCGAACCTCGCCGGTCAACGATTCGGGCAGCTCGACGGGCGGCGGGGGTAGGCTTCGGCGTGCGTCGAGCACGCGGCGAGATCCGAGCCCCACCCCGACCCCCAGGAGCTCAGGAGAGTCGAGGGTTGGTAGGGGTACTCCAGGTTCCGTGTGAAAGCGTGGGGGGGTCATGTGTGGGGTGTGTGTGACTGGAGTCGTCTTGGAGGGCTCCGCGGGGTCTGGTCAAAAGGCCGCGCTCCCCATGGCTGGTCGGGGGGTCTGAGACTGCTCGTTTGCAAGGCTTGTGACCCCCTTTTTTTGATGTACGACCTTGGGAGAGCAGGGCTCGCAGGTCGCCGCCAATCGGCACCAAGGGAGGAAAAAAAAACACCCGGACCAGACAGTTGGCGTTTACGGAACGGCCCCAGGCGCCCTTCCCTGTTCGATCTCCTCTTCGGGCGCGTCTGCGAAACGACTTCGCGCGTCGGGGTGGTGATCCTCGGGGTGGACTTTTCCTGCCCTCTGCGGTCACCGGGGGAGCCTCCGCCTCTCCTCCGCGGCAGGCGCTCGGCGAGCCGCCGGGGCACCCCGGAGGTGCCGCGGCGCCCGTGGCCGCCGCCGTGGCCGTGGGCCTGCTCGCCTCGGCGGCGCGGCGCCGCAGGGCACCGCGGGGCAGGCGCTCGAGCGCGGTCCCGCGGCAGACGGCCGAGGAGGCCAGCATCGAGTCGGGCCTGTCCCTCTGCAAGAGGGAAATGCAGAAACAGCCAAGAAAATAGTAGGGGGGCGATCTGTTCGGACCATGTTTGACTATGTTTGTTTTTTTCTTGCAGCAGGTTTTAAATTTTTCCTCCCGAATCCGCCTGTAGGGGGACATGCCCGCCCTAAGGCCAGCAGTACGGCCGGCGCCAGGGCACGCAGGCCGAGGGCTCGGCTTCTGCTCGGGCGTCTGCTGGCGCTCCGAAGGAGAGAAAGCGCCAGAAGCATGAACTTGTGGCGCTCCGCGCGGATTTCTTGGATCCGCGGTGGGCCCCCCTCCCCCGGCGGCGCCTCCAGCGCCGCCCCTTGCGCGCTCCGCGCGCCAGGGAGGGGGCACCGGCGCAGATCCAAGAAATCCGCGCGGAGCGCGACAAGTTTATTTTTCTGGCGTTTTTCCTTCTTCCAGAGATGGCCCTGGCCCAGGGTGCCCCGTAGATCTCCAAGGAGGCCCCACGGCCTCCAAAGCGCCCCTCGCGTGAACGCAAAGCTGTGGGCACCCGTGGCCAGGGGCACTCTTCATGGCAGCCCCCGATCTTCGCCAGGGGGGAAACGGGTCCTGAGGGAAACGGGTCCCTCGAGGCTTTCCGCCGTGCTCGGGCTCTCGGGGCCCTCCATGGGCCCCGGGACTACCATGAAACGACCCAGGACGAAAAGCTCGTCCTGGGGGAAGGCACGAAGGATTGCAAAAACGAAGGATTGCAATCCTTCGGTTTTTTGCACGAAGGTTTTTTGCAATCCTTCGACGAAGGGTTTTTTGCAATCCTTCAATCCTTCGGACCCGGGACCCGTTTCCCTCAGGACCCGCTGCCCCCATGCGAACGTCTCGCCGGTGTCGGGCGAGCTCCCGGCCAGGCCCACCTTGTGCCCAGGATCGGTGTGCGTGCCTCCCCGGCCAAGCCAGAAAAGCGCATGTGCACCGCTGCTGCGCCCAGGATGGGCTTGGCCACCCGCGAGGGCGCGAAGGTGATCGCGCTTCACGCGTCGCGGTCTGGGCCTGAGCGGCTGCACTTCTCCGAGGGGGCGGCGTGAGGGCGCAGGGGCGCGAAGGTAGCCGCGCGTGCGAAGTTGGGTGGCCTGGATCCGCCGGTGGGGCCCAGTTTGCCAGCCCCGCATCCCTGGTCCATCTGATCGGTTCTGCCGGTCTTCGCCATGAAGAGAGCGGGTTCTGGGGGAGACAGGTCCTGAGTGTTGTTTTTCCCCGAGCAGCTTGCTGAACGGGGTGCTGCTGTGATCGTGACTGAACTGGTTCCGGTCGAGGGACGCGCGCCCAGAGACATCCTCAAGACAATTTAGTGGTCTGGGCCGTTTCGCTTGAGACATCCTCACGATTCTCGTTTCTGAGTTGGCCAGGATTGGGCATTTCGCTTCAGACATCCTCGCAACTCTGAGCTCTGAGATGCCGCGCGCGAGGTGATCCGGCGCGTTTCGCCTGAGGCGTCCTCACAATTGTGAACTCCGAGCTGCCGCGCGCGAGGTGGTCCGGCGTGTTTCGCTTGAGATGATGTCCTCGCAATTCAGGTCTCCAAGACGCTGCGCGCGAGGTGGTCTTGGCGCGTTTCGCCTGAGACATCCTCGCAACGCTGGGCTCCGACATGCTGCGTGCGAGGTGGTCTGTCGCGTTTCGCCCGAGACATCCTCGCAACTCTGGGCTCCGAAAGGTAAGTGAGGTCGAGGGGTCAGACCCAATCGGACGATTTGATTAACCGCGCGCCCTGGATAAGAAATATACCCCCCTTGAGACTTGAGACTTGATTATCCCGTGCCAAGACAGAGTTGATCGGGGGAAAGGGGCGGGAATCTCATAGTATCAACACTATCACAAACGTGTGGCAGGGATATGATGGTATTCTCACCGTTTTAGCTTTCCTGACTGACGAAAGTGTGGCGGGGCCATTGGATTCTCATCACTTCTGCTTTCCCAAGTCAAGAAGGTGTGGCAGTGCCGTGGGATTTTCACCATGTCAGCTTTCCTGAGTCACGAAGTCGTGGCAAGTCTATGGGGCTTTCGTCGCTTCAGTACTCCCAGGCCGCGAACGTGTGGCAGGGCCTGTGGATTCTCACAACTTGAGCTTTCTCCACGGCACGAGCGTGTGGCAGGGCTGTGAGATTCCAACCTTAAGTCGGGCCTGTCCCTCTACGTGGAATATTCAAAAATAATCAACAACCTAGACTGGTGACGATTTTTTCGAATATTGCGAAGGCCTGACGGCCGGTGCCGCCGACCCTGTTCGCAATGCGCAGCAAGAGATTACGAGGTTGCTCAAGGTCGGCTTGGCTGGAGCCCAGGGGAAGAGGAGTCCCAGGGGGGGGCGTCGTATCTGACCCGGGGGGGGGGTCGACACCCCCCCCCCCTCCCGGCGGGGGAGGGATCAAAGGGAAGGGGCTTCCCTTCGACTCAATTACGAGGTTGCTCAAGGTCGGCTTGGCTGGAGCCCAGGGGTTGCTCAAGGTCGGCTTGGCTGGAGCCCAGGGGAAGAGGAGTCCCAGGGGGGGGCGTCGTATCTGACCCGGGGGGGGGGTCGACACCCCCCCCCCTTCCCGGCGGGGGAGGGATCAAAGGGAAGGGGCTTCCCTTCGACTCAATTACGAGGTTGCTCAAGGTCGGCTTGGCTGGAGCCCAGGGGAAGAGGAGTCCCAGGGGGGGGCGTCGTATCTGACCCGGGGGGGGGTCGACACCCCCCCCCCCCCATCCCGGCGGGGGAGGGATCAATCATCATCATCATCAGCATCATCATCAGCATCAGCATCATGATCAGCATCATCACCACCACCATCATCATCACCACCATCACCATCTGATAGTCATCACCAGCATCATCACCATCTGATAGTCATCACCAACATCATCACCATCATCATCAGCATCATCACCATCATCATCAGCATCATCACAATCATATTCGGCATCATCAGCATCACCTCAATCATCATCGACGTCATGTTGTTCATATTCACCATGGCGATTGTAGTTCGGCCCTGCATCATCATCATCCTCGTCATCATCACCAAGACGCCACCATCATCGCCATCATCACCAGGGCATCATCATCATCATCATCGCCGTCATCATCATCAGTATCATCATTGTCACCATCACCGTCGTCATCATCGACATCAGCAGCACCATCTTCCTCGTCATCTTCGTCTCCTCACCTTTCTCGTCTCATCATTCTCCCCTTCTTCGTTGTACTGTTCTTCCTCGTTTCCTCATCCTCCTCTTCTTTCGTCTCATCGCCTCTTCCTCCTTCACATCCTCACTCATCATCCTCATCCTCCTTTTTTTCTACTCTCCTTCCAGGGGTCCATCCGGGCTGGTGCTCCAGCCCGCCGGATGCGTTTGATGGGGGCGGCCCCGGGACCCGAAAAAAAGGCATCCATATGATTCCGAAATCGATGAAAAACATCGGCTCCTCCTCAACGACGCCCCCCCTCCGCGGCCCCGTCCGCTCGCCCTTCTCCTCCCCGCCGCGGCTGGCGGCGGCCGCCGCCGCCCGCGACGGCGGCCACCGCGGGCACCTGGCGACGCCGCCCCCTGGCGACGAGGCGGCGGGCCTGCTGCGGGCGGGGTCGCCGACGACGACGACGACGACGACGACGACGACGACGACGAGTACGACGACGACGACGACGACGCCGAGGCCGACGACGACGACGACGACAACGCCGAGGCCGACGACGACGACGACGACGACGACGACGATGACGACGAGGCGTCCTCCCCGCCTCCACTACTGTCGGACAGGACTACGGAGGCCCGAGTCGACTTTCATCCCCCTTCTCTTTCTCTTTCTCCTCCTCCTTCTCATCCTGCTCGCCCTCCTCATCACCCCCCATCCTCCTCCTCCTCCTCCTCCTCCTCCTCCTCCTTCACCCTCTCGTCCTCCTCCTTCTCCTCCACCTCCCCCCCAGCAACCAATTACCTGGGCGCGGGTTTTCGGACACAAGACAGGATGAATAATTCCGATAGTGATGTGGGCATTTCTGGGACACCTCTTCCTGCTGATGCTTGTCGGGGGCGAGCCCTCCTCCTCCCCCTCCTCCTCCTCCTCCTCCTCGGGCGCCCTCCGTTCGCCGGCGCCCGCCACTACTCGTGAGACGAGGAGGGACGCCTCGCAGTCGTCGTCGTCGTCGGCATCGTCGTCGTCGTCGTCGTCGTCGTCGGAGCCGGCGTCGTCGGAGTCGGAGTCGTCGGAGTCGTTGGAGTCGTCGGAGTTCGAGTCGTGGGCGTCGTGTCGTCGGAGTCGTCGTCGTCGGAGCTGGAGGAGTTGAGGCGGAGTCGTCAGAATCGGAGTCGGAGTCAGAATTATCGTCGTCGTCGTCGTCGTCTTCGGAACCGTCGTCGTCGTCATCGGCGTCGTCGTCGGAATCAGAGTAGTCGGAGTCGGCGTCGGCAACATTGGGGTCGGAGTCTGAGTCGTCGTCGGAGTCGTCGTCGTCGTCGTCGTCGTCGCCCCCGCCGTCGTCGTCGTCGTCATTCAGGGTCGGCGGCACCGGCCGCAAGGCCTCTCCCAACCACTGCACACGTTTGCGTCGCTCACCGCGGAGCATCGAGCAGCCGCCATCCCACGGGCTACCCGCGCGACTCTCGTCGGTCCGGCCCCTCGCTCACTACTTACCCACGATCGCGTACACACATGTGCCCGTTGCTTTACGGTCCCGAAGTTGCTGCCTACAGAGCCACACGCCCAGAGGCGCCTTCGAGTCCTTCAGGTGCAATTTCTTCGTTTTCTTGGCGCTCGCATCGGCGGGGGGCACGTCGTCGGCGAAGAGACCCCCATCACATGCGTCCTCATGACCATCGTCTGTTCATTAATTGCCCGACCCGCCCTCCTCCTCCACGTCCTCCTTCTAGCCTCATCCTCACCCTCCTCATCTTATTTGTCCTCCCCCTCCTGCTCCTCCTCAGCCTGATCCCGCTACTCCTCCTCCGCTTTCTCCCCTGCCTTCTCCTCCTCCTCCTCCTCCGCCTCCTGCACTTGCTATTGCAAGTGAGCGGGGCCATCGTCACCGCCATCGCCCCTAACCCAAGCCGGCCCAAGAAAACGGCGTAACCCAAGACGGCCCAAGGCGGCCCAAGAAAGAAAACAGTCCAACCCAAGACTGCCCAAGATAGCCCAAGGCGGCCTACCAGGACGACGAGGATCGACGAGGGCAACGATGAT